GAGGGATTGGATTACTCAGGGTGTCCCGGCCAGCTGATTGAAAAGCCAGCACACGCACAGTGTGGGCTGTACCGGGACCTAGCATAAGGTTGGGGGGGGAGTGGGATCGGGTTACAGCAGGGAGCAGAAGTGTTTGGCTAAGGGAAAGGGGAGGAGGAGGTGGATTGGGTTACTCACAGTGTCCCAGCCAGCTGATTGCAGGGGAGGGTGGGTGGGCAGGGAGATTGGTTTGGGAGTGTGCAGTACCTCCTGATGCTCCGGCATATCCGATAATCCGGCACCATCTAGGTCCCAAAGGTGCCAGATTATCGGAAGTCTACTGTAGGATGGATGATTGAAGGGCCACTGGCATTGGGAAACAGGATCCTGGGTTTCTCACTTTCCAGATCCAAAAGGCACTAGGCTATGGAAACATTCTCACTCAGTATCTCTCGGGCCTAATGATTATATAATTAGTTAATCTATAATGAAATGGTTTCAACAGGCTTAGAAGTCTACATATTTACACAATATGTTCAATTGGTTAACCAATTAAATGGGATTTCACATCCCTAATATAGGGAGTCCTGGCTCCTAACTCAGGCTTTGTAAATCCAATGGATAGTCCCAGTGATTTCCTAGGGTATGTCTACACTACCCTCCTAGTTCGAACTAGCGGGGTAATGTATGCATACCGCACTTGCTAATGAAGCCCGGGAAATTCAAATCCCGGGCTTCATTAGCATAAGCGGGGAGCCGCCATTTTTAAATCCCCGCTGCTTCGAACCCCGTGTAGCGCGGCTACACGGGGTTCGAAGCAGCGGGGATTTAAAAATGGCGGCTCCCCGCTTATGCTAATGAAGCCCGGGAAATTCAAATCCCGGGCTTCATTAGCATAAGCGGGGAGCCGCCATTTTTAAATCCCCGCTGCTTCGAACCCCGTGTAGCGCGGCTACACGGGGTTCGAAGCAGCGGGGATTTAAAAATGGCGGCTCCCCGCTTATGCTAATGAAGCCCGGGAAATTCAAATCCCGGGCTTCATTAGCATAAGCGGGGAGCCGCCATTTTTAAATCCCCGCTGCTTCGAACCCCGTGTAGCGCGGCTACACGGGGTTCGAAGCAGCGGGGATTTAAAAATGGCGGCTCCCCGCTTATGCTAATGAAGCCCGGGAAATTCAAATCCCGGGCTTCATTAGCAAGTGCGGTATGCATACATTACCCTCCTAGTTCGAACTAGGAGGGTAGTGTAGACATACCCCTAGACACCTAAAATGTAGGCCTTGCAACAGAGATGTGAAAGTTGAACTATGTTCACAGATACATTCAGGCTCCTTGCACACATAGGTAGCAGGCTTAAAAGCTGACTCCCTGCACCCTGGGGAGCCGTCTGCTGCCTCGTGCTGCTGCCGCTGATATAGAGGCAGCAGCATGGGACAGCAAGTATGCATGGGGAGCCATCTTAAAAGTCTGCTCCTTCCACACACCGGCTTACAGGGAGCTGGCTGCCGCCCTGCGTGTAATTCATCATCAGCCTCTCCCCAGAACATGCACCCCCAGCTGCAACCTTCACCTCCTCCACCCCAATCCTCTGCCTCAGCTTTGAGTCCCGCCCCCACACACTGAATCCTTCAACCCCACCCCCACCTCCACCCCAGAAATTGTGTTATATGCATCAATATGGCGGTAAGGTGCCACAAATCATATCCATATTGGTGCACATAACAAAATTCATTCTGCACATGTGGGAAACATTAGAGGGAACACTGGTCACCTCCAAGGTGATTCTTTGAGAGAAAACTGAGTAAAACCCTTTGGCAGTTTCTGGATTAGGAAAGCGGAGGTAGAAAATGTGGGTAAATAAACGGTAACTGCTTTTCACACTTCAGGCTTCTCAAGGGGCTGGGACACCAAGGGTATGTCTACACTACCACCCTAGTTCGAACTAGGGTGGTTAATGTAGGCATCCGAAGTTGCAAATGAAGCCTGGGATTTAAATATCCTGGGCTTCATTTGCATCTTGCCGGGCGCCGCCATTTTAAAATCCCCGTTAACCGCGGGCACAGAGTCCACACTACACGCAGCACGGAGTAGGTAGTTAGGATTAGGCTCTCTAATCCGAACTACCGTTACTCCTCGTGGAACGAGGTGTACCGGTAGTTCGGATTAGAGAGCCTAATCCGAACTACCTATTCCGTGCTGCGTGTGGCCACGGGCACGGAGTCCGAACTACCGGGACTTTAAAAATGGCGGCGCCCAGCAAGACGCAAGATGGACTTCTCTTTGGGTATGTCTACACTACCACCCTAGTTCGAACTAGGGTGGTAGTGTAGACATACCCAAAGAGAAGTCCATCTTATATCTGGGGAATGAGCATTGGCCTGACTCCTGGGAGTGTTGTTTTAAAATACTGCTAGTCAGAAGAGCCCTAGACAGGTTTATGATCTGATAGCACACAAGCCTCCAGGTGTTGCTTATCATTGGGGAGTTTACAGTAGTAATCACTGGAGTGTTAATTGAGGTCCTTGATATGTATGACAGCTCAGAGCAAACCCAGGCACTTATGAGATCTAGAGGAACCTGGGAGTGTCAGACTCAGTCACTGATTGGAATAAATGAACATTGTTATTTGTGTTAAAGGGCAGGTAATTCAGTGCTAAACCTGTTACTTCACCATTCATCGCTTTGACTCTGCATTGACAGGTAGATTAGATTAATTTTGAGAATTCAGACACAAACTTAAAATCCCTAGAGCAGCATTAGCATAGCCACAATGCACATATATTTGTGGGCATGTGTCACAGGACCTAGTCCGACCTCTCTGGCCTCTTCCCCATCTGTAAAATGGGTATAATAATGTTTGTTTTGTCTCATGAGGGTTTTGCAAGAAGCTCTGAGGTGCTGCGGATACTAGGGATGTGAATGATTAGTCGATTATCCGATAAGCAAATGCTTATCGCAGGTGTGGGGAAGAGAGCTTCTGTGGGCCAGATCCAGCCCTCCAAACCAGTTAATCCAGCCCGCAGCCACCCTGCCACTCCCCCACCCCCAGGTCAATGAGACCTGGGGACGGGAGTGCACAAAGTCTCCTCCCCCTGCCAGGGGTGTGTGGCACCAAAGGGAACCGCCAGCTGTTCAGAACAGCTGGCAGTTCATTTTAGGCACCACACGCCCCTTGCAGGGTAGAGGCAGGGGGCAAAGACTTCATGCACTCCCCTGCTCCTGGGACCCTGATTTGCTTGGACATGGGGGCAGTGCGTGAAGTCTCCTGCCACCAGGGATGCATGGCACCTAGAGGGAACCGTCAGCTGTTCAAAACAATCAGGATCTGCAGGTGGGAGACCATGGGAAGCATCCTGGCCCTGGCCCCTCTGGGACAGCCTGGGGCCATTTCAGAAATTTGTGAAGTGGCCTCCCTTCAAAAATTATTGTCCACCTGTCGCTTATCAGATAGTCAACACACTAGTTGACTAGTCGCTTTTGCCCCCCTTGCTACCTCTATCAGAAAGAGGCAGTGGGGGGAAAGCCACAGTGCCACATGCAGCCCAGGGCCAGACCCTGGGCTCCAAATGGCACTGCTGCTTTGAAAAGCTGTGTGCAGCCCGGGGCCAGCTGGGAAGCCCCCAGCTGGCCTGGGCTGCATGCAGTGTTTCAAAGTGGCAGCACTATGTGGAGCCCAAGGTCTGCCGCTTTGAAACGCCACATGCAGCCCCAGGTCAACTGGGGATTCCCCTGCTGACCCTGGGCTCCATGTGGTGCTGCCACTTTGAAATGCTGTGTGGAGACTGACACTGGGCTGACCCTGGGCTCCACGCATCACTGCTGCTTTGAAATGCTGCGTGGAGTACAGGGCTAGCAGGGGAGTCAAGCAGTCCCCCACTAGCCCCGTGTTTCCTGCAGCGCTTTCGCCTTTGAAGTGGCTTTTGCACTACAAAGGCAAAGGTGCCCTTATCGACTATTCGATTAGCTAATTAATCTAACTGTAGCATCCCTAGTGGACACAGCATTGTTCAGTACCCTGCATTTATCACTTGGGACTGTTCTGCACTTAGACTAGATGGGAGCGCATCCCAGCACCATAGTCTCTCTCTGATACCCAGAAGTCATTGTGTGCAGTGTGGCTCTGTTAACACTATTCTGGAGATTGTCACCTTTCAGTTGCTTGAGCTTGAGTATTTGAACTTTTTACCCCATGGCGTGTTAACATGCCTCTTGATACCTGCTTTTGTATTAAGAAAGGGCAAGCGCCTTCAGGCAGGTCTGGCTGAATCACGCCTGGAGTGCACTGGATTGTTCACTAGGTGGCAATGTCAGCTCAAATGAATGGGGATGGGACCAGTGTTAGGGAAAGTTATTATTTGAAAGATTCATTTCTGGGCTGAATTAATTGATTCTGCAAGATCCAGTGCCTTGTACAGGGGCTGAGCGCTTGGCTCCCACAGAATCCAAACCTCCAAAGGATCTCCCACTACCTCTCCTACTCACTGTCTGCTCATGGGAGAGCTGGGCCCACTTGTCCTCACTCCTTTCTGCTTCCAGCTTCACGCTTCTGCCAGGCCCCGTATATAGCTAGAGAGGCTCGGCCACCCCGTCCTCAAAGTAAGTGGGGCTGGGCATTGGGCAGATGGACAGTGAACAATGTCAGCTCATTTCAATCAGATGTTCACGGACCAAGGCTGGTGCTGGCACCTAAATAACGGTGAGGAGAGACTATCCTTCAGGCTGTGGTGGCTGGGGCTAGAGAGGAGCTGGTGTTTGGCCTGGGTAAGAACCAGGTGAAAGGTTTCATCTCCTGTTCCTCGACCCTGCAATCTGTCAGGATGTTTGCCAGAAAGGGTCGTGAATGTTCCGTGGTAAGTTAGTGCTGGGGGGTCAGTGGGCCCCAGTGTAGCCCCAGTCAGTGCTCGCCCCATGGGACAGCCACGCAAAGGAGACGCACGAGGGATAATCAGGAGTTAAAGGTGTGTTATGTGGAGAGCAATGAGAAACCCTGAGAAAATCTGTCCGTCTGTCTTGTCTTTCAGAACCTGCCGCGATCCTATACTGACAGCCCCCTTGTGATCCTACGGGATGTGCAGACTGTCCAGAAATCACCCTCTGCCTGTGGCTGGGGCCACAAACCTGAGACCATCCGCCTCATCACCAGGGATCTCATCCGTGATCTTGTGTAAGCCAGCACATGAGCCTCTGCTTTGAGGGTGTGTCAGGGGCCCCAGGGACTAGGTGCCTGTCCCATGGAAGTGCTCCAGTGCTAGGCTAGCCCTTACTGTGTAGCCTCCTGGAGACAAGCAAGTGGCAACCCCCTGGAATGCCTGGTCTGAGTGGGAAGTGAGTGGAGGGTCAGTCAGAGAACACTATTAACACCCTGCTCTATAAAGCTCCCTCAGTGGCCACATTACAGGCCTCTCTTGTCCAGTCTTTAGTACAGGATGGGCAAGACAGCCTCCATGGGCTGAATCCAGCCCACCAAGCCCTTTGATTTGGCCTCCGACCGATCTGCCACTTCCCCTCCCATAGGCCAATCGAGTGTTGTGGACGGGGTAGTACACGAAGTCTCCTCTTGCCCACCAGGGGCACGCAGCTCCAGAAGAAACCGTCAACTATTCAAAACAGCTGGTGGTTCTCTCTAGGTGTCCCACACCCCTGGCAGGGTGGAAGCGAGGACAAATACTTCATGTGCTCCCCTGCCCCCAGGCCCTAATTGACCTATGGGTGGAGGGAGCACACAAAGTCTCCTCCCACTGCAGGAGCATGTGTCACCTAGAGGGAACTGCCAGCTGTTTTGGACAGCTGTCAGTTTTTTCTAGGCAATGCGCGCCCCTGGCAAAGACTTTACGCACTTCCAGGCTAATCAAGGCCTGTGGATGGAGGAGCATATGAAGTCTCCTGGCCCCACCCCTTCCATCCCATCTAGGTTGGCCTGGGACCACTTTGGAAATTCATGAGATGGCTCCCTTTCAAAAATTATTGCCCACCCTTGCATTAGTATATGATGGGCAGGAGTAGCACAAAGCACCTTCGGGATATATGCAGTGATCTTTCTGATTTGGTCTGATGCTGCCCCCATATGTCCCTGTACAGGTGAAAGGCAGCCTCAGTACATAAAATAGAGCATCCTTAACACACACAGCAAACAGGTCTGTGGATTGCTCCAGGAATGTTTTCTAAACAGGACTGAAATGAGGTCATTAAAGAACCTGCAGCACTTTGCAAGAATAAGGGTATTGTCTTGACCAAATACCATTTCAGACAATTACTTTCTATCTCCCGAAGTTTTCCCTGCAGTCAGGAGTTGTCTTCAGCTTCCGGCTTAAAAAGTTGTATAGTGTTGCTGTTCCTTGGTAAACAGCCATCACCTCTCACGCTAGAGGTGAGTTCATTTTTGTGGTAGGTGGAATGATCCAAGGTACTCAGGTTAACATTTTCAAAGGTGATCCCTGATGTTGACCCCTGGCAGCTGACTTGAGGAGAAGCTGAGCAGCGTGAGCACCAACAGAAGTCAATGGGAGCTCCTGAAGGTCATGTCAAGATGTTTCAGGCTGGGAACCCAAACACTGAGACACCTCAGGTTAATGTCTCATTTGACAAGGTGGCTATTCTGGGCCCTTTGGGATGAAAGGTTCTGTGTACAGCAGTGATGCTGTTATTGCTATGAACCATTCTTTGAAGTGCTTCTGGAATCCAGTCTGCTGTTGTCATCTTTGAAGAAACTATTAAGCAGGTCTCAGTGTTTGTGTGGGTGGATGAAAGGCAACATATAATAATACTGCTAATTATTATTAAATATTTAGCACTGAACATCTTCAAAGTGCTTTACACATTCTCCTCTATTTGGGTTCTTATACCACGCCCATCACCATGGCATCTGAGTAATGCGCAGTCATTTATTTTGTAGAATTCCCCTGGGAAATAGGCCCATATTATCCTCATTTTACAACTGTGAAAATTGGGGCACAGTCAGCTTCCTCTAGGTCATGCAGTGAGTCAGCTGCAGAACTGAGACTAGAATTCAGTTGCTTTTCTTTCCTCATTCTGTGATCATTCCACGAAACTACATTGCCTTATGTAGCGATATTAACCCTTCAAGGGTCATCTGTCACCAATGTGTGTGGCATGCAGATATTTTCTATTCCCTTTGCCATCAGGACCATCCCTAGCAATACCCAAAGTATGCAGCTGCATAGGGCTTCATGACATTTTGAGCCCTACACAGCCCCATTGCCCAGTCAGCCCCTTGGGCTCTGCCCAGCCCCTGCTCACCAGAAGGGTTTGGAGGATTCAGGAGGAGCAGAGGGTGGCCACTCAGTGGCAGCTGGAAAGAAGCAATGGTTTCCCCTTCAAAGTGGTGTTCTCTCCAGCTGGCTGCGTGGCCGCCCTCTGCTTCCATGGCCTACGTTCGCTGTTTGCTACTGCCGGCACCTCCTGCCTGAGGATGTCAGGTGAGCCTCCCACCCTGCTCCTGCTCCTGCTCCTGCTCCTGCTCCTGCTCCTGCTCCTGCTCCTGCTCCTGCTCCTGCTCCTGGTTGCCAGCTCTCCCAGACTGGACAGACCTGATGCCTTTCACAATAATAGCATCCAGTCAGGAGAGCTGGCAATCCTGCTCCTGCCACCCACAGCTCCCCACCATGGAGTGGTTGCTCTTCTACCCCCCGGGAGGAAGGTGTGGTTTCTGGGGTAGGGCACCAGCGTTGGCATAGCCATGTACTAATGAATTCGTGGTTCAGACAGTGTCTTTGTTTTTCCCTGGTATCTTCTATCCCTAGAGACACTCTGCAGTCTTAGCAAAGCGCCATACAAGCTAGGCATATGGCTCACATCCGCCAATACGGAAATGCAAACACCTGTTTTAAGGTGCATGGCAATGTGGACCTGTTGTTGAGGGCAGGCAAGGAAGATTATCATGTCCCACTGACACTGCTGAAAGCGCCAGGATGACAGTTGAGCTGCTTTCACATGAAAGTCCGGAAATTCAAGTGTGACACTGAAATGTTTGGAACATCTTTCCCAGGGACTAAATAGCTCCATACACTGTTTATTTGTGATTCCAGTTGCGCTTGTGGGGTGTACACAGGCAATGATCGGTTGGCACAAAGCAGTTACAGAGGTACCTTGTGCTGTTCATTACCATGTGCTTCTATATGAATTTCCATGTGGAGCAGGAGGAAAGCTGGCCAATAGACTTTGGGCTTAGGCAGGCCTGGTCATGATTGTCTTTGTGCTGCCACTGTCTCTCATGTGCATGTATGGCATCTGCAGTGCTGTAGATGCACTTACAGGACAATAGACCATTTCAAGTCCACCTCTATGAGGTTGTAGATATCCTCCAGTTCCCCCTTTGAGTCTATATTTGGGATTCTGCGTGATGTGTTTGATGGTTGGGGTGTTCTCATTGCAGTTACAGGAATGGGAGTCTTTGATTTTCTGCACTTACACAGTATCCCTGGAGCTGTCTAAACTAGGGATGTAATAGTATAGTCGATTACCTGATAAGCAAAAGCAAAAGCTTATCGGTTAATGCTATTGACTACATGCATTCCTCTTCCCTCCCTTGCCAGTATATTTTTTAGCAGACTGGCCAGCAGTGTGGCTCAGTCCTGGCTTGCACTGGGTCTGGGACCTACCTCTGCTGCAGATCTGCATTTTAAGTGTATTAGGAGCCAGGCGGGCAGGCAGCCCAGCTCAGTTCCACCGGGTCTGGGAGCTCAACCCTTCTCCCTGGACAAGGGCTGCTGCCACCCCGCGCTGCTGTCTCTGTATCAGAGGCATCAGTGCGAGGCAACAGGCAGCCGACCTGTGCAGAGAGCTGTTTTTTAAACTGGTTCCCCTTGCAGACCAGCTCCAGCCTGGCAATCCACGCTGCTGCCTCTGGTACAGAGGCAGCAGCGCCGAGTGGCAGGGGGCTCCTCAGGAGTGGGGCCAGAGCGCACTGGCTTCCAGCCCCCACTCCCCAGGGACTTTAGAATACTCGAGTAACCAATAGGAAATCAGGAGGTTAATTGACTGTTCAGTTAACCGATATTTAACATCCCTAGTCTAGACACTGTTATTCCTGGGGTGCAGTCAGTTAGCCCAGCCTGTGACAGCATCATGCTGCTCTCACTGGGGTTTGGGGCTCTCCCTTCGTCTCAAACCTGGCAGTGCTTCTCCTGTAGCACCTTCGCCTACTCCCCACACTAGACTTGGCCCAGGCACTTTGGTTCAGATACACAAAGTTTCAGATTTGGGTACTGTGTCGATTCACCAAATCCCTGTTCAGCTGCTGCCTGCCCCCATAGACACCTGCATGTTCACTGTAAACATCACCTAAGTCTCTGCGTGTGAGCATGCACATCGTTCCCATAGCTGTCTAGGCACCTGCCTATTTTCTAATCTGATCCTCAATCCTGCCTGCAGGGCTTGCGCTGATCGGTGTGCTGTGAGCATGCCTAACTCTACACAAGCTGGCCGGGGGAGGGGACTAGGAGGAACTCCTTATACCTGTTAGTGCAGCAGTTAGATACCCACCTGTGGTGTGAGACCCTTATTCAGTTTCCTTCTTTGCCTGACTAAATGAGGGTTTCCTGCCTCTCAGGTGAGTGCCCTAATCACAAGATTATGGGTGTTCTGGGGCAAAGCTCTTCAGATCTCCTGTTGGAAGGTGTTCCGCTTAGTATAAATACTGAAATAGGCGTTGGGCCAAGGCCAACAGCAGTGCTGATGACTTTATATACCCAAGTCCCTTCTTCACCTCCAGTGCAGGATGGCTAAAGATTGCAAGGGAGGCCTTCTCCTTCCCCTCCTGCTTGTATGGAGTGAGGCACATGCCACTCTTCCTGTGATAAATGGTTTAGGCATGACTCCAGGAGAGGGATCCTCGTGGTAGATTGAGAGCAGAAATGGTGCCTCCCGCTAGCTAGGGCTGAGATGCCTAAGTCCCAGAGAGGGGCGGGGCTTAGGCCACACCCTTCTTGTCAGTATCTGCAATTGACTAGTGTAGGCAGCTCCGCACCTAGCGTGGTTTTGGTGGATGCCATTCTCAGGCACCTATCTCTCCCCCTCATTGGGTAGAAAACCCAGGCACTTAATTCAGGCTTTGTGGGTTCCATTGGGTGGCAGGACACCAGATGTTAGGCATTACTATCCTCAGTCTGACAATGCCCCTGTCCCTTTGTGGATCTGGGCCCTCTTGCATTTATCTCTGCTGACTCACTCAGTCTCTCACACAGTCCTTCCCTGGCTCTGGTGACCTCTATTGCAGGCAGCACCACAGGGTGTGATCTCTGTGCAGGAGACCCTCAGGCATTTCCCAGGCTGACCCATGGTGATGGGAGTAGGGAGCCTCCATGTCACCTCTCTGCTCCTCTTGCTTGTTCTGCCAGCGTTCCTGCAGAGGACCCGTCAGGAGAATCCCTCATTATGAGCCCAGAGGATTTCCACCGCATTAAGGCAGCATCCCAAGTCCTGACCAAGGAGGAGCGTGAGGCCAACATAGCAGCCCTCAAGGCAGAGAGAGAAGCTCTTATCGTAAGTGTCTCTTCTCGCTTCCTGCTGTCAGCTGATTTGTAGGCCCATTCCAGGGTGCTGTTTGAAGTGGCCACATAGGGTGGACTTTGCAGGGAAGGGCCAACTGCAGGGGCTACGGCAGCTACCCCACACATTCCTGGTGTGCCAGGCCCAGCTCTGGCCTGCCTAGGGCCATCTGGGCTAGGGATGGGGAGGTGGGTGCAGACCAAGAGGAGGGAGTGGGGCTCTTGAGCAGCCAGGCTTCCCAGAGGAAGCCCCTGGGCAGACTCCTGAGAGCCAGGGAACTGTTTATGCTGCTAGTCCCAAACTGCTTCTCTGTCATGGTGGCTCATAGCAATTGGCAGAACTTTGGAAAGCTCCCCATCCAAATCCTCCCTTGCAGGAGAGACATCGAACTTGCACCCTACACTGGCACCCACAGACTTGCCCCTGTGGCCCAGGCTCTCAGAGGATGTAGGAATTGCCAGGCCCCCACAGTTCATGTCTCAGAGAGAATCCTCCCCCCTTGGGGTGGGAGTGCGAGGAGACAGCAATGCTGCCACCCCAGGAAGTTCTGGCCATTGAGAGAGTGGGTGGAGCCTGCCGCACAAAGCCGCTGGCTCATGGACACAGGCTGGGTGTATGTCACGGGCCATGGTTCCAGCAGCCCTCCTGTCTCAGACATGATAGGACGTGAGCATCTCCCTTGGGAGCGGTGCAGCCTCCCTGCAGCTCTCACCTGTGCAGGCACAGCAGTCCCCTCAGAGCTTGCCAGTCTCCTCCCTGTCCCCAGCATCGTGTCATGGTGGTGCTGGCCCAGAAGAATCTGGCTTGTGGCAGCACTTGAGTGAGGCAGGGCTCCCTAGGGCCAGGAAGGTGGCTGTCAGCAGCCTGCCTTTCCCCTCCAGGCCGGGGTGAATGAGCGCAAGCACGTCATGAAGCAGAAAGGGATGGTGCAGAAGAAGAAGGAGAAGCTGAGCGACCTGGAAGAGGAGGCCAAGGAGCGAGCCCAGTACCTGCTGCAGCGGGCCACCAGGATGCGCATGGAGCAGGAGGAAGAGGTCAAGGAGCTCAGCGAGGTGGGGTCTCGGGCTCTGTGCTCTGCAGTCTTCCCCTCTCCCCAGAAACTGGGCCCTTCTGCCAAGCAGGGCAGCATCGTTCCAGGGACTCCAAGCCAGGCGTAGCCAAAGCAGGGCAAGCTCAGCCCTGCCCTGGAGGGACCCTGTGCAGGGAGAAGGAAGCTGAGTCCCTGAGTGATGGCTGTCAGCAAAGGCTCCTGCTGTGATGGTGTGATGGGGCCAAGACTTGTTCCACATGGAACCACTGACCTGCCCTCTGACAGCAAGGACCTACAGTCACTGGGCTGGATTTGAAGTGGCCCCTGTGGGAGGAAGCTCTTTGTGCCATTGCCTGCCTCCTGCACTGTGCAGTCCTGGCTGTACTCCGATGTGGGGAAACCAGGGTGCCCGAGGGCATACAGTGAGTGAGTGGCACAGCTGGGAATGGAGCTAAGTCTTATTCTAACCCCTAGATCATGGTCTCTGTTTCCTCTTGAACTGCCTTTCCCTGCCCCCTGGGCCCTCTCTGTCTGTGCCCCACCCGCATGGTTGAGCCAGAGCAGTTCCTTGTCCCCAAAGATGATCCTGAATGCAAAGTGCCAGGCGATCCGTGATGCACAGATGCTGGAGAAGCAGCTGATTGAGAAGGAGCTGGGGGAGGAGGAGAAGCGCCTGGACCAGATGATGGAGGTGGAGAGGCAAAAAGCCACCAAGATGCAGGAGGAGCTGGAACAGAAGAGGAAGCAGGAGATGATCAGGTGAGCAGCAATATCCCTCCCCAAGCCCTGGGCAGCTCATCACATGCAGCCCCACTCCAGCACTTCCCAAGGAAACCCAGTGTGAGGCAACCATTGCCAGGGGATACCTGTCTGTGTGGCCGTGGGGCATGGGCAGCAGGCAGTCCAGCCCTGCTGGCTTGGCAGGCATTTGTGCCAGGCACAGTGTGATGTGCCAGAGACATTGATATGTCCTGTTCCCAGAGGGAAGCAACATATCATCGAGCAGATAGAGAAGAACCAGGAGGAGCGGGCTATGAAGGCAGAGCAGCGCGATCAGGAGGCCCAGGAGATGCTGGACTATCTGGAGCAGATGCAGATGGAAGACATGACGGTAAGAGAGACGGGTGAGGTGAGGCGTCCGAGATGGATTCTGAGCCCATCCAACCCTCCTGAACCCCAGCTCCCTAGTATCCCCCGGGGCCAGGGGAATGGGCAGCCCAGAGCTAGTTAGTCTCCTCGCAGTTGAGGACTATGGGAAGCAGACGAGGAGCTCAAAAGGATAGTGAGCAACTGGGCCTTTCTTCAGCCCCAGCCCAATAGCTGGCCTCTCATCCCTGCTAGTGCATACTGCTCCAGGCAAATGCCAAAGCAAGAATGGTCTGGGAAGGGGGCTGTGCTGTGGCATCTCCCTGGGGTACCTCTCACACCCCCTGCCCTCGTACCTTTCTCAGGACATGGAGAACAGACATGAGCAGAGGATGAGAATTCAGGCTGAGGTTAAGCGTATCAATGACGAGAACCAGCGGCGTAAGGAGGAGCAGCTGGCGCAGGAGAGGATGGCTGACCAGCAGGTGCTGGAATACCAGAAGCGGAAAATGGTATGTGCTGTGGGCAGGGGGAAAAGAGACTGGTTCACCAGGAAAGTTCTGCTCTGTTTAACCTGGAGTTCTGGGCCTGAGGGCGGGGGTGAGCTTCTCAGGCCTGTGCTATGCAGGAATTCATCCCTACATCATGGGCTTTTTGGCTTTAACACCTTTTGGCTTTAACACCTGTTGTAAAGGAGGGAGGTGAAGCACTGGAAGGGTTTCCTAGGAGGTGGTGGAGTCTCCATCCCTACAGGAAAGTTCTGCTCTGTTTAACCTGGAGTTCTGGGCCTGAGGGCGGGGGTGAGCTTCTCAGGCCTGTGCTATGCAGGAATTCATCCCTACATCATGGGCTTTTTGGCTTTAACACCTTTTGGCTTTAACACCTGTTGTAAAGGAGGGAGGTGAAGCACTGGAAGGGTTTCCTAGGAGGTGGTGGAGTCTCCATCCCTAGAAGTTTTTAAGTTCCAGCTTGACAAAGCCCTGGCTGTGATGATTTAGTTGGGGTTGGTCCTGCTTTGGGCAGGGGGTTGGACTCGATGGCCTCCTGAGGTCTCCTGGAGCCCTAGGATTCTCCGATTCTATTAATCTATCAGAGAGACCCATGGATGTGGGTGGATGCTGGGACGTACATACCCCACAGGCAAACACATGAATCTGCATACCAGGTTTTCTGCTACGTGAGCATTATTCGATGAGAACGGGGAGAATGGCTGGCTGGCTAGCTGCTGGCTCCTGGAAGGAGTTCAGACAAGGAGGGGAACAATTTTCCAAGGGTTGTGGTGGATTCACCATCACTGACAAGACTGGATGTGTAGCTAAAAGATCTGCTCTAGGAGTTAACTGGAGAAGTTATCTCGTCCCTGTTATATAGGAGGCTGGGGGGAGCGGGGAGCCAGAGAGATGCTGGATGTGTCTGCTATGTCCTGGTGGTGGGTGGGTGATGAGGAAGGCCTACTGTTAACGGTCTGGGTGCAGCTCATTGATTTTGTGCTGTTTGCCTGGCCCAGGCAAGGGAAGCAGAGTTTGAAGCCGAACAGGAGAGGATCCGCCGGGAGAAGGAGATGGAGACGGCACGTCTGAGGGCATTGCAGGAGAAGGCCCAGGATTACCAAGCAGAGCAGGTAACACTTGCAAAGATGGCCCTGTGCCCCCTTTCCAGTCCATCGTATTCCCTGCCTCTGTCTCCCCTGATTCCATCCCAGGCAAGGCAAAACCGGGTGTAGGGGGCATGGGTGGGGTGCACCCTCTGGCCAGGACATATGGTCAGAGTGCATTATGCCTGCACTTTCCCAAGCCAGTGGGCGGAGGAGCCAAGCATGGAGCCTGGGGAGACACTGCATTCACTTTACAAGAGATTTGCATCTGGGAGCTCAGCAGCACACTCCATGAGCAAACTCCTGCCCCAGCTGCAAGGAATTAGCAGCTTCCCTTCACACAGGATACTTGTCCCCCTTTCTGGGACTGGCAAGAGACTAGCAAGGGCTACTGGGGCAGGGTAAGATAGAGCACGTCTCTGTTGGCCGTCCTGCCAGGGGCAGTGGGAGTCTCCCACTCCACTCATGTTGCTGCGAGAAGTGGGATATTTCAGTGAAACACTGAGAAGTTGACCTTGTTAACCCAGTTGTGATGCCCTGTTGAGGTACCAGGGTGTAGAGCAGCCTTCCCCGTCCTTGGGAGGAAGTTCTGCCCTGTCCCTTGCCTTGGCAACGATGCTGCTGCCTTGCACACCTTGTGGGAGTCTCACAGCAAAGCAGGAGAATCATGAGAAACCCTCGTCCAAAGGGCTCTAACCTGAGCTGTGTCAGTGCTCAGAAAGCTCTGCTCTTTGTCCTGGAGAGGCCACAGCCGGGCCTTGCCATGGTGATGGGATGAGAGGCGGGTCTCCCAGGCCAGGGCTGTGGAGAACCAGTCCCTTGGTGGAGTCACTAGAACAGTGGTTCCCAACCTTTTCCACATGGGGACCCATTTTGACAATTCAGAAAGACTTGATGACCCAAAGCAATTCAAAAACAGGGGGAGAAGGGGTGGCAGAGCCACCTGCAGATACTCGGTGACCATTTTGAAATATAATGGCGATCCCTATTTGGGTCCCGACCCATAGGCTGGGAAACCCTGCACTAGAACCTAATATTACGCGTTCCCAGCAGCCTGCCTTGCTCAGGAGGTGGCTGCAGAGGTGCAGTATTAGAGGAACGGCTTCTGCAGCCAACAGATGATCGCTGGCTCTGAAGGACCCTGAGGCTGTGAGCCGAGGGCCAGTGTAACTCCGAATTCATAGATAGTACCAACATCCACAGCTGCTGCGTAGGGAATGCAAAAATTTGGGGCACCACTGGGTCTTAATGTCCACCCACTGCTCCCTAGCTCAGTTCTGTGGCTGCTGTAGAGCGAGTCTAACTCGGGAGAGGAGCTAGTTAAAGTAAAAGTGGCACAGCCTGCCAGACCTGTTCACACAACTCTGAACCTGTGAAAGAGCCATTGAGTGGCAATGAAGCCATGTAACAGGCATTGGCCAACCCCAGATGTATGCAGACCATTTCTGAATTGACTGTGTTAGATGACAGGGCCTTTGAAAATTGCTTTAAAATATTTTACTGTTGTGTTGCTGTAGATTATAAAACCACAGCTCTAAAAACTGTCTCCCCTCCCTCCCCCCGCAGCTGCCATAGGGCTCTGGGGCACCAGTTGACAAGTACCACCTACAACTCCAGAAATCCTAAGGACGGCCCTGGCACCAGCCCATTGTTTTGCACCTTTCTTCTCTCCATTCAACTCTGATCCCCAGTCTAACTGAGTTTCTGTAATGTCCAGCACTACTGGCTCTGCCCTCGCTAAGCAACTGTGGCTGGGTCCTTCCAGCATCACTGTATGTGCATAACTGGGTGCCCTGCTAGCGTGCAGGACAGAGCCCAGCTGGCTCTTCTGCCGCACAGACCAAGCGAGCCCAAGGGCCTGAGCAGCAGGGGTGGTCTGCCTTGGGCCCCGCACCAGGCATGTGGAGCTGTGTACACCACGCAGCTAGTCCTGCTCCGCTCGCAATGGGGATCAGCACGCTCCCTTCTTTGCAGGACGCACTGAGGGCCAAGCGGAACCAGGAGGCCACCGAGCGAGAGTGGCGCCGGAAGGAGAAGGAAGCTGCGCAGAAGAAGGCAGAGACCGATGCCATGCTGAAGAAGAGCCGGCTGGAGCAGATCGCCTACAAGGAGCACAACCTGGCTGTGCAGGTGCAGCGGGACCGCAATGAGTTTGAGAGGATCCTCAGGTACAACGGGTGGCACTGCTGGGGTCAGAGCTAGTAGCTGAGGCCCAGCCAGTTCAGGGACTGAGTTCCCAGCAATGCTGCAAAGGGCCTCTGGTTACACACCTTACCTCTGTCCCGTCCAGTGCAGAAGGGACTGGGGGGCTGATCTGCTGCCCTCTCAACACTAGGGCTTCCTTCGGGGGCATCTCAGACCAAGGATTTTCTTTAGATCTGTGGTCACCAACCCATTGATCGTGATCGATTGGTCGATTGCAGGGGCACAACCAATCGATTGCGAGGTGTTCACAGCCCCTCCTCGTCCCCCCCATCCCCAAGAAGGAGCCTGCACTGGCTCTGTAACCTCCTGGGAAAATGGAGGTAGCGCCAGCTTCCTGTGGCATGGGGGGGAAGTCCTGCGGCTGTGTGCTAGATCCGGTGTCTCAGGAAGTAGGTGCGCTGCTCCTCCCCTCCTCAAAACAGACAGCATGCTTCCTTCTGGCTCTGGTGTGGGCAGCCTCCCACCTGTCCAGACCCCAGACCCTCAGCCTGGTCCTGCATCCTTCCCCATGATGTCTGCCTGCCTTCCTGCGGTGGGGAAGGGGAGAAGTCCCAACTTCTCAGGAAGCATGCCAGCTGTTTTGGGGCGGGGAGGAGCAGCACGCACGCGCTTCCTGAGACACGGATCTGGCACGCAGCCTCGGGACTACCTGCTGCTGCCGCAGGAAGGAAGGAAGGAAGGCAGCACGGGGAAGGAAGTCCCCGGCTCCTCGTTAGAGCCGGTGTCTCAGGAAGCACGCCAGCTGTTTTGGGGTGGGGAGGAGCAGCGCATGTGATTCCAGAGATGTTGGATCTGGTGCGCAGCCGTGGAACCCCCAGGTACCAGCCAAGTTATGCTGTCCTCTCCCCCTGCCCAGACTCCACTGAGTACCCTGGCATCCACTCAGGCCCCCACCAGCACCCTCCCCCCTGCCCAGACTCCTGTCATCACCTTGCCCCTGCCCCCTGGCCAGACACCCATCAGCACCCTGCTTCTTCCCACTCCCTCCTGGACAGACACCTATCCCCAGATTGCTCCTGTACCCTATTTTCCACCCAGATTCTGCACCCCCATCCCTATCCCAATCACAGGCAGCCCTGTCCCGCACACTGCATCCATCATTTTGGCCTCATCCCAGAGCCTAGGGTGGCCCAAAAATCCACTAACCCCTGGAACTCAAAGAGTTAATCTGGCTGTAGGCCTTGGACCTCAGTCCTGCCTATCCTCCCCACCCCCATGGGGCTGGAGCGCCAGGGGAGTGAGGTGTCTCCGTTGGGGCCACATCAGTGAGGCTTGGAGGGGTTGGTTTTTTGCATCTTATTTGTGCGGTCCCCCACTGATTTTTTCTGTGGGTCAGTGACCCCTGACCCAAAAAAGGTTCCCTTCCCCTCCCATAAATAAAGAAAATGCTGAAACGTTTTGTGTTTGACATATTTTATTTAAGAATGAAGCCTGGCCAGCAAGCCCCCAGTTGGGGCTAAGCCCCCATCTGGCCACAGCATCATAACACTCCTGCACTCCTCACAGACTCCAATCCTGAGCCCATCATACACCTGAACCCCGTGTCCTGAGATCCCCAAATTCCTGCACCCCTGCATCCCCAGTCTTCTGCCACAAAACTCCTGCACCATCCACACACTGCAAATCTGTGTCCTGAGCCCATCATACTCCCAACCTCCCTGCCCTGAGCCCTTCATACACCCCAACCCAAATTCCTGCACCCTCACATCCACAAGCCTGCGGCTTGCTCAGCACCCCAAACCTCCACCTGAGAGCACACAACCAGGGCGGTTAGCGTCAGGAAAAAGGAAATCCTTGCCTGCATCACTGCAAAAGCGGGGAGGTGAAACGCTTGTGCCCGGAGGAACTTATGGCTGCGGCCTGACTCTGAGCCCTGGAAAGAGGGTTACTGGCCCTGCCTGTGGCGCAGTTTGACCCCAAGGGTCATGCAGTGTGGTGTCTCCATGCAGAGCTCAGCGGGAGCAGATTGAGAAGGAGCGGAAGGAGCAGGAGCGGCGCAAAGCCCTGCAGCTGACCCATGCTGATGAGGTGCGGCGCCAGGTGCGCGAGCACCAGCAGAAGCAGATACAGGAGCGAATCACCACCTTCGAGGAGGGCAGGCGCCTGAAGGAAGAGGTGCGCCGGCGCAGCGAGCGCATCAATGAGATCAAGAGGAAGAAGATGGAGGAGCTCAGGTGAGTGTGCAGGGCCAAGCAGGAGGCCAGTGCCTCGGGGGCCATGCTCCTGGGCTGGGCTTGGCATGGCTTCAGCTCATTCTTAGTGCTGGGCAAGGCCATGGGATGTGGAAAGGAGACAGGGGGGTCACTGCTCAATGGCACCATCCAGCATGGTACCCTGTAATGTTTGGGGTGCAATCCATACATGTAAGGCGGGGTGGGGAACCTATTTTGGGTCAGCAGCCACTGACTCACATATAAATCAGTCGGGGGCCTCACACAAGTGAGAAGCAAAACAAACAAGCCCTCATGGACTGGCTCCCAACTGGTAAGCAGGAGGGGGAAAAAAAGGGAGACACTCACCTCACTCATGCAACTCGGGGTGCTAGGGTTCCCCTCACACACTAACCCTGTGTGCCCGGGGGGTGGAGGGAGATGCCAAGGCTCCAGGCTCCCCTCCCCCAGGGCCGGATTAACTCTTCTGGGGCCTGAGGCTAGTAGGTTTGTGGGAGTAGAGCCAAAAACAAGGGGTTCAGTGTATGAGAGGAGGCTGCCAGGGAGCAAGCTGGGGGTGCAATGCAGGGTCTGAGCAGGAGGTAGGATGCAGGACCAGGCTGAGGGTCTGGGGTCTGGACAGGTGGGAGGGTGGCGGAGCGGATCGGTGTATGGAGTCTGAGCAGGAGGGAGGGCAGGAGCCAGCTGAGGTGTGTGTTTTGGGGGGGGTCTGAGTGGGAGGGAGAGTGCAGGAGCCATTTGGGGGTGTGGTATCTGGGAGGGGGAAAGAGAATGTGGGAGGAGGTATGGGATGGGGTCACCTCCTTGGCACAGCTCCCCAGGCAGAGGGTGGGAGGCAGTGCAGGTAGCTGGACAAACACTGCCCTCACTGCTCCTATTGGCTGGGATTCGTGGCCAGTGGGAACAATGGGGTGGAGTCTGCAAGCTGTCATAGGAGAGAGAGCTTCCCAGCACTGCGGTTCCAGCACAGAGTCGCTTCCTCCTCCCTCCAGGGAGAGCCCAGGGCTTGATGTGGCCAGGTCTTGCCTGAATCTGGCCTGTGAGGTTGGGGCTCCCCTCAGCAGCAGGGAGCCAGTACTGGCACTCCAGCCATGTGGCGGAGAGGGGGGAGAATCTCAGTGCCCTGGCTTACCCCCTACAGGGGTGGGAGGAACCCCAGCCTCGCGGGCCAGATCGACAAGCTACAGGCTGGATCCAGCCCACAGGCCATGGGTTCCCCATCTCTTCAGTAAGGGTTTGTGTCATTGCCTGCCCTGAGTGCCTTCAATGTTTTGCTGTTGTGGCTCACAGCCCAGACACAAACAACCAGCAGACAAGCATGCAGTATTCTGAGTGTCTGTGTGCTGTGCAGCCCTGGTCTAGCAGCCTGTCTGTAACATAATAGCTCCACTCACCAACACTGGTTACGCCTGGCAAGATGATTCCAAGACTATCTGTCCTGAAGTTTGCAGCCCACTCCTAGATCACTCAGAGAAATCTTTAAAGATACATGTGATGGGGTGGGTCACAGAAGACCCCTGGAGGCCTGTTTCTCAGTGTGCTGGCAGAACCACTGACATTCACAATCTTCCTCTCTGGGGCTTCTCACCACTCTGTCCTCCTGGGCCAGATCTCCTGGTCTCCCCCAAGGCAGAGCTGAGATCACCGTCCCCTGCCCCCAAAGAGCAATGCAGACACTGAACCTCCTCAGGTCTGAGGAGAATGCAGTTTTGGGCCCAGCTTTCAGGAAACCCACTCCCTAAATGGGATAAGAACCTCAAATAAATCATTCAGGGAAGCCCTCTTTAACAATGAAAGGAGGATGTACACACTGACTGCTCCCCCAGGTAATAATTATTTACATTGGGCTTGATAGTAAATACAAGTGATTTTATTAAGTGCAAGCAGTAGGATTTAAGTGATTGCAAGTGAAAACAGGCAGAGGTAAGTAGATTAAATTGAAAATAACAGAAAAGGCTCAGCTAGTTCTAACACCCTCAAGCTTATAGCAAACTTACTCTGAACCTGTTCTCATTTCAGCTAAACCTCCAAGCTAGGGAAGATCTTTTTTCCCTGGTATCTCTGGTTCATTCTCTTGGGAGTGACTTGCCAGCCAAAAGGCTGAAAACTCTGCATCTTAAATAGCCTTCCTCTTTAGGCAGGAATTCTTTGTTGCATTCTCCCCTTTCATGGAAAACTACATGGTCAGACCTTACCAGTTAGGAAGATATGTGACCATCCTAAGACTTAAAGGACAAAGAGGCTGTTTACAGTTGTTCACCCAGATATTGAGAGAAACACCCCTGATGGTTTTCATTTGCACATTTAAAACCATAAACCAGTGGTCCCCAACCATTTGGGGTTGCCGGGCGCCAGGGGGCGTGGCCGTTCGCCCACCGGGCGCCAGGGGGCGGGGACACTTGCGCGCCCGGGGGCGGCCCCCCCCAATAGCCGCATGCCCGGGGGCGGCCCCCCCCATAGCCGCTTGCCCGGGGCTGGGGCCCCCCCATAGCCACGTGCCCGGGGCCGGTGCTCCCCCCCACAAGCACCGCGCGCCCGGGGCTGATGCTCCCCGCAAACGCCGCCCCATGTGCCCGGGGCCAGG